TGAATATTCATATTAGAATTTTTTTCACATAATTTATTATAATGTTCTATTATTAAATTAATTATGTCATTTGGTAAATTTATATTACAAATTGTTTGTTTTATTTTATTACTAATATCTTCTAATTCTTTTATATTATCAACATCAACTTCATCTATTAACAATAGAACATTTTTTGTTTGTTCATTATTAAGTACATGTTGAAATGCATTTGTTGTTATTATGAAAGCATCAGGAACATTAAAATTTCGTTGAAATAAAATTGCTAAATTTGCTCCTTTACCACCAACTATTTCTAATTCAGTAGCATGTTTCTCTTCCAAACTTACAACAAATGGTATATTATCACTCATAGTCATTTATTTAATTATATTGTCATATAAGATTTACTAAATTTCAAAAAAAAAAGAAGTAAAGTTACATATTGATGAGCAATCTTTTTAGAGTATTTCATAAAATAAAACTTCGTATGACCTTCATTAGCAAGGAGAGTATCCTGCCATATCCTGCATACCATTCTCTCTGGTTGAGTCTTCATGTCTTTATCGAGATGTCGCCATTGATCGATCAAAACATCAGTAAGAAATTTTAACATGAGAGGATTAGAATACTGCAAAAGACAATATTTTCTGCATTTCGTATTTTATTAACGTTAGAGTACAGAAGATCTTTAGCTCTTATTTTAAAACTATTGCCCAATCCAAAATAAAAGACGAGTTTTTATTTTTGAATAACTTTTGATAGGAACAAGATAGAGACATGCGGTTTTCACCATTCGAAGAAGTGATGTTCAAATCATCGATCTATATAAAACTGATTATGGTGAAAGATACTTTTGAATCGATACTTTTTTCTTTGCGTATTTTCATCAATCTTCACAATAATCTCAAATCAAGTTATATCAAAATATAGCTTAAATCACCTTTTTTTTGGCTATAAAATGATCATATATTCCATTATTCCTCAACTTCTTATTCCAGATAGATTTACAAAAAAAGTGCAATAATTTTATAGCGAAAAAAAGGCGATTTGAGCTATATTTTGACATAATTTCATTTGAGATCATTGTGAAGATTAATGAAGCTATGCAAAGAAAAACATATCAATTTAAAAGCACCTATAAGAAAACCCATTTTTCGCCATAGTGAATTTTACACAGATCGATGACTCGGACATCGTTCCTTAGAATGGTGAAAACCGCATGTCTCTATCTTGTTCCTATCGAAAGTTATTCAAAAAATGACAACTCGCCTTTTATTATGAATCGGGTAATAGTAGACTTTTGAATTATGTTGATATATCAAAGCTATTGTTTATAAGATCATACTGTTAAATCTCGACTGTCTCTAAGTTCACAGAAATCACCTAAAGATTTATGTAAATTCGGGGAAAACTTAGGGCTTTATATTTTAGTGAAAATTCATAACAAGAATATGTAGTGATGAATTTGCTTCTATGTCATGTTTACCTGATGTATTTTCGATCGTCAAATGTATTGATTGGATGGTTGTAAGGAGATAAATATCAGTATAAACCTTCGAATAGTGCGAGGAATATTTAAATATACAGGTAAGTGTGATAAATGGTTATATATATACCCGAGATAAATAGCATATTTTGTGCTCTACATACTTTTTCGCACGTGTCGAACGCAAAAGTACGATGACGCGCGTAATACAAAAATAGAGTGAAGTAAATAAAAAATGCGTATGTACAAAATAAGCTAATATTTCTAATAAGAGAGCTTTGCTAAGTGATAATTCACATTTGAAACAAGTATTACAGCATTAAGTAGGCCCTATTGAGACTACAGGTAGAATAGATAGGACTTGGACCAAAGCTAATCGACATCTGACAGATACTTTCAATGTCATAGTACAGTTTTCAAACTTTTACTTTATATGAAAAAGTATACTGTTTAGTTTCTTTCATAAATAAAAACAAAAAAGAGATCATCTCAACTTCTACAAAAAAGCAAGCTCTAGAGAAAGTACTGAGAAAGCCTTAGCAGGGTACCTAATATTGGTACTTCGAAAATTCTCAGTAATTATACTGATGTAGGCACTGCAAGGGGTACCTATAAAAGTACGCTCACTGAGCAAGTACTGGTATGGATACCCGCATCTGTAATTTTACTGAGGAAAACTCTACAGGATACCCTAAATTTGTCGCGTTCTGCGTAGCGACTGTTCATTCACCGTTTTCTTTTTCGCGCACGGCTTCATATAAACAACTGAGCAAAACAGAAGAAATTAATCTGTTTTCATACTAATTTTTTCTAGGTTATTTCTTCACTATTCCTTAGTCGAGAACTTTCCGATCTTGATCGTAGATTAAGAGCGGACTATCCTGAGGTGGTCTCATGGATACTCGGCCAACTCAAGTTTGGTCATATCTCGGCTTTTGACTTGCTGAGTTTTCGGAATTGAAAAAATTAAATATAATAAAATCGAAAAAAATGTAATGAATCGCTTTGATAGAAAAAAAATGCAAAAAGTGAAAGGTCAGGTTCGATTCTGAACATATTGAAATTTTGGTAGCAGAGTACCTAGAAATACTGTACAATAATACCCAATTGAATATCTGATCGGTATCTTCAAGTACCCAGTTACTATACATTTTTTAGTAGGGTACCCACCAAAGTACCACTTAGGTACTTAAAAGTACCTATAAATACTTTGGTACCCAAAAGTTACTGTGACATACTGGTGACAGGGTACTTTTTCGAGTACCCTTAGCCCAGTATATTCTCTAGGAAGTGGCTTAGGATTCACTTGGTGTCTTTCTACTTCTAAAATCTAGTCAATTTCTCTAAGTATACCTTTGCTTGTTGTTGATGACACTGGAATGAAGCGCAGTGTTGGTCTCGAACGTCATGATTTTGAACACATACTTCAATGCTTTTTCTATCATGATAATACATCTTCACCTTTTTGATAGTTCATTTTCCTCTCCATGTATAAAAAAGACCCGATGAACACAAACTCTTTAGAATTCTCGCTAATCTCAATAGGATCTACCTAATGATTTAAGACTCGTCTTGAAATTGATTTATTACTCAGTGAAATTACATCGTAAGATATTGATAATTTTTGATTCTACCATATACTGTTTCAATACAGATTATCAAAATGACTCTGGATTTCTTTCAATGATTACAAATTCGACATAGTTTTGTACTAATATTTCTTTCTCTAAAGAGCGAAAACATCATATGTCTTTCCAACTAAGACAAAATAGTGTATTTCAATTCCATTTCATATATATTTTTCAATGAAATCTTCAAATTGAATCGTTTATTCTCTATAAAATTTAATTTCAAAAATGAATATATCATGTTAGATATATATAAATATTAGTTTTCAATCAAGTAGAAAACATTCAACTAGCCATAAAACACGAAAAAACAAGGACGCAAGCGTATTTGCATAAAAATATGGAATACGATTTCAATTAACTACAACTATACATAATTGAATAGAAATAAGGAAAAAAATCTGATAAAATAAAGAGTTAATTAATTACTACGATGTTCTCTATCATCATTTGAACCACTGTAGTTGGTTTTCTAGTACATAGTACAAAGTAATGTATTCGAAACTCGGCACTACTTGCCATGGAATGACTTTGAATTAGTCATTGCTGACTATTTGCTTCGAATTAGCCGTATGACAGCATGTTGACTACATCGTGACGTACATTGACCCTCTTGGCTACTATGTTATTAGTTAGTGTATGCAGGAAACTCAAGTAATTGAGCCGAAGAACTCTTGAGTCATACTGACCTTCTGCTCTGATCTATAATTAACAGTAGTTGAAGGTAAGATATTAGGCTAATGAAACTATCCGATCTTCGATTGATACTCTATATCACGAGAAAGTCGAAAGGCAGAGCATTCTTCTTTTGCTGTTATTTACTCGTTTGTTTAGTGCAAAAAGATTTCTAAACAAAAAAAGCTTTTTAACCTACTCATCGAAAATTTTTAGCTGCCATTGCTGATTTACGCATCAACTTACATCTCTATCAATAGATAGGAGCTACCTGAATGAAAGTTTGATGTAAATGACATTTCATATTTTAATAATGTAAGTTGAATAGTGTTTTATATTTATTTCTTTTTTGTTGGACAATCTGAAATAACATGATATTGACAGTTTTCTAGAAATTAGACCCTAACAAGTAGAGCAGAAGTTATATCAGATTTGACATTATCGAACGTTTTTCTCTATATACCGAAATTACAAAGATGAAAAATGATCTACATATACGAAGTTTTTCACAGATTCTGTTTTTGATTCAAGTGAATGACATTTTTTTTTTGCATAAAAATTAATTCCAAAAACAATATAAATTATGTCAATCAAATCTGTTCCCGTTACACAAGCATCACCATTGTAAAATCAGTTATCATTTAATACTGTAAGTTTATAATTACTTGTTTTCGATACTTTTATTCGAAAAATATATAGTTCACGATTAAAAATAAAATTTCGCATTAGGAGATCTAACTAGGTCTGTGATAGCATACAGTTTTATGAATTAGTGCTTTTCGGAGAAGTGGGTCTAGTGATATTTTTTTCGTATACTGTTTCAGTTCTCAAAATAGAACTAGTTCATAAAACTGGGAGCTATCGTAGTCATTAATTTGTTTTAACAGATATATTATTAATTTTAGCACAACCTTTTCCATTTGAATTAGTTTCTATATCAATTTGTGCTTGATAATTTCCAGCAAGTATCCAGGATGTAGAATTAATTTTCATTGGAATATTAAATGTATGTTCTCCCTATAAACAAAAGATTGTAATTATTAATTGTACAATATTATATGCATATTTACTGCTTCTATTGGACAACTATATTGTTTATAACGAGTACAAAGATCATCATATGTACATGAACCAATTATGAAGCAGGGAAGTGTAATATAAGTTATAAAAAGTTTTCTTCTTAATGACACTGTTGCCTAAATGTGTATGAAGTTTAGTCATTTCTTATTAATTCTATTTTTATAGGATACAAACCTTTAATGGACTTGTTAACTTTTGATTAGTATAGATAGTTGTTGTTACAGAAATCAAACCAGGAATCACAATTGGATCTGGACTTATCGTAAGACTTAGTAGTTTGATATCATTTGATTCACTTCCACAATTTTCCCATGATACTTGAGTAACTACAACTGTCTGAACACGAACTTTTTATTTAATTTATATTTTTACTTGTTATACTTTACCAATGGAAGAAACAGACAGGATAAAAATAAACTGAAATTTATAAAAGCCATGGAATATATAACTGTATATAGAGTGAATGAATAAGACTTATATATCTTTCGTCCATTTATATTTTTGCGTA